TTATTATTATTATTATTATTATTATTATTATTATTACTATTATTATTATTATTAGTCAGAGATAAAGTAGATCTACAAGTACATTAGTAATTCAAATTATCACACTGCTGGAATCTCCTCTCTGTAACTGGAAAATCTGTCATCCTGTCATCAGTACATGAGTACTAGTAGTTAATGTTTGAAATTATTGAGTTAAATTTAGTTTAATTAATAAATTTGCAACTTTCCTTTATTATTGTGCAGAAATCAACAAAGGATACAACACTAGACATCGGTGAAGACCGATTAGTCCTCAACGTTAATCCTGACAAGTATCACCTTGATCTCAACTTAGCTTTTGATGTCAATAAAGAGACTTGTGGTGCACAGTATAACAGGAAAACAAAGGTAATGGACAGTTGTGTTAAGGAGCACAGTGTTTTACAATTTTCCATTGTTGGTCAGTCAGAAATCTGCTAATTTCAGACATCAACTGAAGTATCCATTCCAAAACAAGGCCACTGTTGCTCTGGGAATGTTTTCTGCAACATTTTTGCAGTAACTAATTAGCAAATAAATGTGTTTCACCTGCAGTTAAGCAGATGCCACTTTAATATCAAGAGTTTATGTTTCCCAGATATTTGTTATTTCATTGACATCACATGACCTGATTTTCTCACTTGTTTTTCTTTTCTTCTTTCACAGGTTCTCACTCTAACTTTGCCTGTTCTCAAAAGTAGCTGACAAGATTTCTAGTGATAATTATATTATTATTTCAAGGAATATTATTAACTTAAAACTGTACCATTAGTCTGAGAACAGATTCAGGTCAGACCAGTTTGTAAAATTGTTTTCCCACAAAGCTTTTTCTTGTCCACAGCTCCTCTATTTTTTCAAGGTGTACTTTGTTACAGAGGGGCTTACATGCAAGTCTTGAGCTTTTGCAATATTAATGGGTCTATAAGTTTTTCATGATTCATACTTATACATACGGGCTATAATCAGATTTCACCAAGAGTTCAGTACTGCCGGTTCAGGTTCTCACATTTTAATTGGAACACTTTGGCTGTTTTGAGTGTGTAGGGTTACCAACCAACAGTGTCATATGACAGTAATCAAGAAACAATGAGATATCATCATCTTTTTATTCACTTTCCAGTGAGTATGCACAGTATAAAAATTTTGAGTTGTCTTTAAAAATTTTTTCTCGATCTTTCTTCTGTTAAAAATATTTATTTACACTTTGATATGTTAAGGTAATTATATGAATCCTAGTGCATTACTAGGGATTTACAGTACAAGTAATATTTAACAATTTCTAAAAATTGCACAAGCCTTTAGGTTGGATGGGGGGAGGGGGGCAATTTGAAAGAATTTTCAAATATCATGAGTCGTGTAAATCCTTAATTACTCGAACTTTCCTACGATTACTCATTCATTATATAACTGAGAAAATTATGAACATGTGCACATGTTAATTTGCAATGCAGTGCAAATTTAAAGTTAATGATAAATTGGTCTGCTCTCAGCCAATCACAATGAAGTAATTTTCTGAGTCATATAATAAACAACAGTATAGCGCTATAAAGCAGACAAGATCAGCTACTATACACTGATATTAACAGGACAGTTGTACATGAGCACAGCATGGAGTGTCCAGGCTCATGACATTATCTCTCCCTACTGAAAACTATACATTTCTTTTAATGTTACTTCTGAGAATATGGTTGCACATCAGTACAAAATCTCCTGGCTGATCATTTCTTTTTTTTATTACCTGTCTGCTTGTCAGTGTATTGATTTTGTAAAGAGAATTTAAAAGTTGATCTTCCTTGATGACTGAAGTATTTTTAAAAATCTCTTTAGAGTGGAGACATTTTTATCATGAGCAAGACTGAGTACACTTTTCAGAAAATTCGACCTTCAAATGAAACAAGTAAATTAAATAAATTCCTTCAATTCTATCGCACATCTACCATGACTTATGGACATAATTTTACCTATATTTCTGACCCTCAAAAGACCTTTGTATGATTAATTTTTATCATAAGTAAATGTACAGTTAAAACTGAACAATTTAACCAATAAATACAGTGCAATAGATATTCATTCTCAAACTCACGAAGTGTCAACAAAGGAAATTAGTTCAGCTCAGAAATATTTTAACACCTTGCCACTGTTTAAGAAAATCAAATACTACTTAAGAGCAAAATAAGTGTATTTTGCATGACTCCAGCAGTGGAAAGTTTGCTTCAAGTAAGTATCTCGCAGAGAAGACTTGTGTGAAAAATCCTTGGTTTATCTGACAGCCTATTTCTGTTCTTAACTAAATTTTCTGCTCCTTGGTCATTGTTTTTGAACACAGACGTTCTGGAACATGTAATTCAAAGGTGATCCACACAAGGTGTGCACACTTAAACTCCTACCATTTCTCCTGGACGCAAGGTAGTGAAACAATTTCCACTTCATGTAATGATAAATCAGAAGATTGCGACAGTACCACATGAAAACTGTCAAGGAGTGCAACCTTAATCTTCTGACAGCTCTCATGCTACCTCAGTTGAAGAACCCCGATTTTCGTCATTTTGAAGTGACTCTTCATACGTTGGCGGGAGATCAAAAGACAAGGTATAATAAGGGGGTGGTGTAACAGGAGCTGGCTCCCCATGGAAATCCACCCCATCTGTTGTGGCTGATTCTGTGGGATACACTGGGGGCGGTATGTGGTGATCCCCTTCACAAGCGTTACAATCGTCTATACTAAACGCCCTGTTTTCCACAGCTATTGTTGTAGTGCTAGATCTAGCACGTAACTGCTGCGTCGAGCGTCGTCTTCTGCTTCTGCTCCTGGATCTTCGTCGTTGTCGTTCGATGTATCTCTGCCTGCTGTACTTGCTCTCTCTCACAAAACAACAACAAAGAATGAGCAAGAAAACTGACCCCGTCAAAATGGCCGCGGAAAGAAATCCCGCCTTTGTAAGCATCACATTTGAAGTTTTCTCGCAACTCCCCCGCTCGCACTGTTCTCCGTGAGAGCAATCTCTCCAACTGATGCATGATGTTCGAGCAGTTGTTGATTGTGTTGTGGGAGTGGGAGAAGAACACGAATTTTTAGTACATCTTCCCTGACAACACTTGAAATGTTGCTCGGTATTGTTGTAACAGTCTCTATCGTACGAACAGGATTCTGACGTGCAGTGTGCGTTAACGCATTTCTCGCCTTCAGGACAATGGTTATGGATGAGACAAGATTGACATTTTTCTACAGGGCGACATGTTAAACCAGCACAGCAAATCTCTTCCTTCCGACAGTCGGCGTTCTTAGAACAGTTCGAACTTGCAAAGTCGGGAAAAAAACAAGCAGTGACAAGAACCAGGAATATTATAAAATGGTCGAATACACTCATCGTTGATAAATGGACCGAGAATCTTATGGTCATCACAAACTGATCACAATAGGTCCAAAATGAAGGTAAACTGCGAAAAAATCTCATGCACGCGAGGATCGAATTTCAGCTCTTTGAACTTGCTATTGACATCTCGACAGTTTTCTTTGTTCCACTGACAATTATATAACCATATCGGAACAATAGCAAATGATCGACCGATATTTTTACGAGTTATCAACAAAACAACAGTGTATTAACGTCTTGGAAACTCCAGATATAGCCATGTAGGAAATCTAGCATTGCATGCTAAGATTCACAATGGCTATTGTTTCGTGTTGTGATAACAAGGCGGTGAAACAGGAGTAAAGACGCGATCTTGTTGACGGTTCGCTTTGGAAGGAGTCTGGGTGCTAACTGGCTACAGATCAAAACAAGGATTGAGAAGCTTTCAACAAATTTTCTTTAATAAGCTTAATACATGGACTATTATTAGGCGAAGGACCAGAGTCATCAGATTGACGGTATTTTGAAAAAATGTCAAGGCATGTGCAGCCCTAACCTTGGCCACGGACTTTGGACCGCTATAGTCCAATTTACTACTGTTGCGTGACGGGGAGAATTCAAAACAATTGCCTTGCATTTTGTTTTCAAGATCGTTTCAGAAGATAACATTTCCTTTAATTAAGTACGAGTTTCGTCGTAAAATTTGAGTCTGAACTGCTAGTGCTAATAGGTATTCGATATTTGTCTTGTCACACACTACTGATTGTCACGCACGCCTGATTTTGTACGCATAACTTTCCATCGCCCAAAACCTTCTTTCAATTCTCTTTCCATTGTTTAGCGTTTATCAAACAAACAGTGGGATGTCAAAGGGCCTCAGCTCTCCGGGTCTAAAATGAACGTACCTCGGGCAGCGAAGGCTTCGACTTGGAATCAGTGCTGCGAAACGAAATTCACAAACTGGCTCCGCAGCGAAAGAAAAAAAAAACATCAAGTTTTAGGGACCATTTTCCCTACTACTCTCTGAAATAGGGGATTACACATGATTGCCATTTATGCATTAGCTGATACATAAATATTTTAACAGGATTATTCTCTCTGAGTAATATGTTTTCTTTTCAAATAATGCTAATTTATGATTCAGTCCCTAGTTTTGTTGAACAGTTCTTTAATAATTTTGAAGATCTGCGTTATTGTTTCTATATGCTGTTTGCCTCAGCAATCTCAAGGGTACTGTGTCCCAAGACTAATCAAACTGGAGTTGGGGTAGAGGGAATTATTTAATTGTTCAAATCACTTGAAAGAAAACAATGCAAAGCTTGAACTGACAACATCTATGTTCTATGTTGTTACAGCAAACACGTTAAAATCACGTTCAACTACTTCTATTAAAACAAGGTCATTCGTAAAACGGTAGAGCTTGCGACGGAGGGACCCCTCCTCTGAAACCTAAGGGAGGAGGGGTGGTGCACTCAGAATGCTCTTCACGTTTCTATGTTTTCCTCGTCACTCGCATGACTTGGCCTTCTTTGAATTGCTCGAATTTTGTGGTTTGCAAAGCACACGCCAAAAATCAAAGCTATCACAATAACTGCTGGAATAATGGTTGCCGCCAGAACAGCTGTCAATGAGTTAATGCTCCCAGAGTTCGTGCCGCCGCCCGATTTGGGAACCATCGTAGCAACACCTTTGATTTCCTTACACACTCCTTGCACGCAAATTTCTGTCAAGTTGTTGCATTCATAACTATGTTGACAACGCCCAGGTTTTAAAGTCCCGACTTCTGTCGTACACTTGTTTCCAGTGCAGTTTTCTTGCTTCGAAATGTCGCAATCTCCGTCGTAAGTGCAATAGTTTCCACAATACTTTCTCCCAGAACATTTGCCGAAGCAGCATTTCCTCCCCCCGGAAGGAAAACAGTCTTGATCGTTAGAACATGAAGTTTCAGTAGAAATAGCGATTCTGGCTGTGATAAAAATATAGTGTGAAAGAATAAAAACATATAAATACGAACGCATAAGGAACACTTCCAGAAGCAATTAATTGAAATCAGGGAGACAAGCTTGAGACAAGAGCTCTATTCTAAACTGGCGTGTTTCCGTTACAGTTTATGCTCGGTGATATTATTTTAGAAGATTTCGAAGTTGATAGGAAGCCTTGGGCCGGTCGACAATGAATTTGCACGTACCTTTTGTTATTGTTTTATTTTGTAAACAGCTGCGAAGAGGGTAAAGATTATTTGAAGACAAATGTTTGGAGTCAATCCAAACCTCATGACAGCTTCACAATAGCCAATTTCCGAGTTGCCTTAAGCCTCTCTATCGAAGCGAGGCCTGGTGTAAAACCTTTCATTTGAAAATGAATTTAAATTGCATATGAATGAAATATCATTTTCATATGAAAGGATGGGCACTAAGACTCGCTTTAAGAAAGAAGTCAAAGGTAATTCGGAAATGGCCTGATATTGAATCAGCTTTTTCGTCGTTATCTCTTCGAACTGCAACTGCTGTTTCAAGGACCATAGCTCTAACAGTCTGGGTTCCCTGTGACAAAACTGGCAACAGACCAGTGACGCAGCGCGTGAAAACGGCGAGCAAAAAAAACTACACACTAGGCCCCTCTCCTTTTTTCGCTCGCCGTTTTTTGGCGCTGCGCCCCAACTAACTGAACGACTGAAAGAGGCTAAACAGTGGGACGAATTCATTATTGTGAGGACGTGACCAGTAAATCAAAACTTTTATTTAAAGCTTCTCACTGTACATGACTTTAATCTAAGAATACAAACAATGATGCTTAAAACTAAACAAGCGCAAAATCATGAAAAATTTCAATTCATGCAAAACCGAGTCAAAGAATTTTTTGCCGATTTCGCTATGTCATGCTATTTTTACTGAGTAAATGGTATTCCATAAATTTGGCGTTTACGACAGCCGTTATTAACAATGCGCTTATTTTAGATTTTTAATATGTACAAGTTTTCGATTGAAAATTGAAAAAGGCAAAATCCGACAGTTTCTCGGATTGTACAAATTAAACTACACAGAGCCACGTGATGCACGAAAACTACAGCGCTGTAGTTGCATATATTACGAGTCAAATTGTGAATAAAACAAAGGAAAATGCAAAGCCAGTACTACGAGAATCTTAATTCTGGTTTTGATCACGTAGAAACCTAGATCTAATTCAGTGGTTAAAGCGTTACCTCATTCTATTTCCGTATACGTATTGTTTTATCTTTGCGTTTCTGAAGCAATTTACTCTGTCAAAGTAGCATAGTTTTAGCCCGTTGTTGGTTTGATTGATTATCTTTTTCGCAATTCCATTGGTTTGAATCATGACAATTTTCCGGTGATATAATTATCCATTATTGTCAGCCTCAGTTAGCCCAGCAGTGGAGTTAAGGTAAATTATGTTAATTGTTTAAATAATGCAGTAGTAGCTGTTCCTACATGAATGGGTTGTCAACGCTTTAGCACTGAGATCACGTAGTTGGCAGATAAATGTTTGAGAAGTTTTAAAACTAGCGCGTCCACATTCCTGTAATTCAAAATAAAGAAAAAAAGCTACGGACGGTTTAAGTATCTTATATATTCTCAAAGATATCTTACAGACAAACGGGGGCAAGGTAGCTTGAAAAGAGAATGTTATATACTTTATGGGGCTCAGCATTGCTTAAATTACAAAAAAAAAGAAAAGAATACCTTTAACGATGCTAAAATCTATTGTATTAATTTATAAAGCGCCTTGCTAATTCTTTACATTTCATATTTACCGCACTATCCCACCATTCCTTTCTTATTCTAGACAAGTCCAGTTCTGAACTACTTGGTGGTCACATCGGGCGGCTTGACGGCCTCATCATAACCTGGTGGTGGGTCATCCTTTCCTTTCACTTCTCCCTCGAATCCTAGCGAATCGTAAGACGGCAGAGCACCAGGAGCCTTATAAGGACAGGGCCCTGCTCCCGCCTCCATGGGAGTCGCGCCATTGCAAGCTGCACTTCCTTGCTGCATTCGAGGATCCGCGGTCGCCAAGGTATTCATTGGCATAGTTATCCCCGGCATTCCAGCTTGACCAGCTTGGCGCGGGAGCGCGATGACGTTTGTAGGTCGCTTTCTGGTTTTCCTGAACACGAAGTAGATCAATGGCACAAGTGCGACTACAGCAACGAGACAGGATATCACAATAATTTTGCTTCCGGTTCGCCATGTTTTTACTGTGTGTCTGTATTTCTCAGATTCTTTTAAAGTTCCAATTTTCAAAGTTGGATCGGTCTCATGATCCGACCAAGATTTTGTCGAGTGGGTCGACTCGGGCGTAAACGTGGTCGGTGTGTCGTCCGTGTTAATCTTACAGTATCGAACTCCTCTAATCTTTTTGCATTTCTCTCCGGCTCTGCAATCATTGTCGTTGACACACGGACAAAAATGATGCCAAATACAATGACCCTCGCAGCATCTCCCATAGTGGCATTCGTTATCCTCGACGCAGTCTTTTGAGTAGACACCCAAGGTGAAACAGGAGATTAGAACGAAGAGAAGCGAGAGCGACCAAAAATTCATCATTACTTGTACACGAAATCAGGAAAAGTTTTTCGCCGATACGACGTCGTCAGACTAAACGACCTCAGTAAGTCTTGTAATGAATAAGGAAGATGTTAACTCGTGGTCAGATTTTATTGAATATTTGTGTTGCCATGTGATTTTAAGGAAGAAACACTAACCATCGCCAGATCTAATTACTACGGTTGGCCCTGTGTTTTCCTCGTTCCCAGGCCCCTGTTCAGCTCTAAGGACACAATTCTTTATTTAGCAACTTACGTTTCGCAAGGGAAGAAAATTGTTCACAATTCACTCCAAGAGGATAAAACATACCAACTTACAGCTCACGAAAATAAACTCTCCACGAAACTTAGTTAATACAGTTACATTTAGAGTGAATTTCGAATGTATCAGGGGTTATTAAGCTTATAATAATAATTATATACTTTCAGTACAATGACCGATAATTTTAACAAGACTATTTTGAAAACTTTACAAGTCTTAATTCCCGGCTCCATACCAGATCTGTTATTTCATTTTGATGAAAAATAGTTTTTACAATTTGCTTTGCCTTGCTATTTGGCTACAAAGAAAACTGTATCAATTCGCGGAAGTATATTACAAACCGTCGTAAATAATCGTTTTGATTGGCCAAAAACAGAAATAACGCGAATTAAGTTTCCATGTCAACGAGAGCACAGAAAAGCTTACCTAAAGTTATGACAACGTGTGGCAACCAAATAAAGGGAAATACTTTCAGACAACATTCGTTCCCATTTCAAAGTCAGGGTCATTCCACCAGTGTCACACAAACAAATAAACTAGCCTCTTCCAAGCGTTCAGTTAGTTGGGGCGCAGCGCGAAAAAACAATAACGGCGGAGCGAAATAAAGGAGAGAGAGAGGCTAATAAACAGGTCCTATTTACCCAAGCCAGTCACTGTTCGGGAAAGGAGCCCAAGGAAAGAAGATTGGATCCGAGAGAGCCAATAGTCTCATCCATTTTGCTACTTCAAACCGTAGAAAATTGAACCACATTGCAAGAAAAATGTTAAATTTTAAGAAAAACCCTGCATGAATGAATCTGTTCAGGTATGAGCTCCGATTTTCTCCGTCACGCGACGATACGCACTGGAGGGTGACGGAGAGGGCGTCAGACCCGATTTGCTTTATTAACTGATCTACAAATCCACGGCTGGCTTTGGGCAAATCCTGACTGCATCGTCATAACTTGGTGGTTCATCGATTTGTCGTTCAAATTCCAGTAAACTGTAAGGTGGCGGAGCATCAAGAGGTGATGAAAGAGAACGTTCATCCATAAAAATCACACTTGGACTTCCTGGTTGCATTTCATGGTAAGTCACGCGAGTTGTGTTCAGCGCGGTTTCTCTTGTCATTCTCGCTAGAGCATATCGTGATCTAGCCTTCTTGCATAAGAAACACAGACATCCAATTAATAGTGATGCAGCAACGAAAGCCACTGCTACAATCGCTTCGCTTCTACTCCATGCGTTCTTTACGACATGTTTAGTCGAGCTG